CCTTCTATCAAGACCAACGCGGAGAAAGAAAAGCGTTCATGAGTGGTAACGATAAGATTTTTGCCGCTAAGAAGAGAAAGCAGGAGGAACGAGTCGAGAAGCAAAGGTCGAAACAGGGAAGGTTCGCAGCCTGTGAACCAAGCAGCAGTGATTCGAGACCTCAAACCTCTGTGGTGGCTGACACCCCAACGGAAGTAGAAATGGAGAAAAAGGACACAGCGATACAACCTGGCAGGTACACATCAAAGCACCTTTATCTGACGGTTCAGCTTCCACGTCGCATTCTCCAAGAGCCAGCATTAAAGGAACTCGCTGACCGTCTTCGGATATCCAATAACGAAGTAAGTGTATCCATAACTGTGTTTGGAATGTTTGAAATTTCTGTTAATTATTTGATAAGCACTTAAACAGTCGACATTTTCTACTGACACCCTTGCCTGCTTTTGCTCGCAGATAGTTTCGGTGGTCGCAGCAGTGCTGCGCTCTGCTAACCCGCCAGGCGATCTGTCTGAGTTCCGGATCTCGAGAGAGACTGCGAGACGGGCGCGAGCTTCACACCGTCGTCAGGTAGCTGCCGCACAAAGGGAAGCCTTCACGCCTCCACCACATGCAGTGGTGCACTGGGATGGTAAGCTGGTTAAGTTGAGAACACGTTTAGGTACTACATTCATATTTTACCAAAGCCTAGACTATTGTAATATATTGTTAGAAATGTATCAAATCATTAACAAAAAGCTTGGAGAAAAAGGCAGCCTTGATAATTCTTCATTATCTGTCTGAATTTTTATATTTCTCTGATTTCAGAACGTCGTGGGAGAAGAAGAACACCGACAGGCCATCTTCATCTCAGGGCGCGGCCATGAGGAAGGGAAGCTGCTTGCTGTCTTGCCAGTGAAGGACGGCACTGGCCTGACCCAGGCACGCGCAACAGCTCGTGCTATCGAGGACTGGAGCTGCGCTTCAAACGTCAAGGCACTGTGCTTTGATACAACGTCGTCCAACACAGGGCGAGTCCAAGGTGCGGTTGTCCATCTGGAGGCGCTGCTGGAAAAACAGCTGTTGAGGCTTGGGTGCAGACACCACGTCATGGAACTGGTGGTGAGAGCCGCTGCCAGCAACATCTTCGGCAAAACATCGGCCCCTACGGACCCTCTCTTCCAGACTCTTAAGAAAAGGTGGAGTCAACTAGATCACTCTCAGTATCTCAGGCTGGACATTGCAAATCTACCAGAGTCTGACTGGCTCAGTCACCTCCGACACAGGACCGTTAGCTACCTGCTGACCGTCACAGAATGGGCCAGAGAGGATTACCGAGAAGCGGCAGAACTAACGCTCCTCGTCCTCGGTGTGAATCCTCCGCGCGGCACGCACTTTCTGCGTCCTGGCGCATGTCACCACGCTCGCTGGATGGCGAAGATCATATACTACCTCAAGATCTACATGTTTAGCCACCAGCTAGAGCTCAGCAGTGACCTGTGCGTCAAGCTGCAGAGGATGGCGATCTTTGTGTCTCTGCTGTACACACCGGCGTGGCTGAAATCACCAGTAGCCGAGGATGCGCCTGTGAATGACCTGCAACTGCATCACGAACTCCTCCGCTACAGGGCCGTGGACTGTGAGGTGGCTGATGCGGCGCTGGCGGTCGCGAGCCGCCACCTGTGGTATCTAAGGCCACAGACCGTCGTTCTGTCGCTGTGCAGCGAGAAGTTGAGTGCGGCAGAGAAAAAGGAGATGGCGACCAAATTGAGCTGCCTAGAAGAAACGAACGACTACGCCAACGACAACTTGGTCATCCAACAGACTACACGGCTTTCCGACCTGATAGATGAACGTTCATGGATGATCTTCAAGGAGCATCATGTGTGCGGCACAGCATGGCTGATGTCACCGGTGGAAGACTGGGAGAAAAACGAAGAGTTCATGAAGCTGAAAGATTTCTCCAGAAGCCTGAAGGTAACCAATGACGTGGCCGAAAGGGGAATAAAGCTTATGCAGGACTTCATTGGTTCAGTCACGAAGGATGAGCAGCAGCTGCAGGATGTCATGCAACTTGTGGAAAAGCACAGGAAGCAGATGAGTGGCTTCAGCAAGTCTGCTCTGATGCAACTGTGAGAGTTGAATAGAGGGGGGATTGAACTTTCAAATTGCATCTCCTCCTAGAGTTATTGACCTATTTCAATGATGTTTGTTTTTTAAGAGGGAAATATATCATGGAAAAGACTGTGACGGCAAAATATTGATATGTGTTTTCGAATAAATGGAAAAGTCAAAACTATGAATATTTTGGAATCTGGTTCCCTTAACGCAGGTAAAGCCTTTGACCTGAACTAGAAGGTCAACTAAGAGGTGCATCCAATCGAATTAGGTGTCAATGGAAAGCTGAATAGCTGCTCTAGCCAGCCATTAGGGTTAAGTAGTGAAAAGCAGCGCGATTGCTGATCTATAAGAGAAAAAGCTTGAGTTTTGACGTTTTTTCGCAAAAATTCATTTTTTATATTTGGATTCGCGACCCCTAGAACATGTTGGATTTCATTAATTCTGGCACCAATGAATTTAGGAGTAACGAAATAATGGGAAAAAACACCCCCACCTACAATTTTCTAAAATTGGGAAAAATGAGCAACCCTAAATTTGCACATAAGACTCAGATTCTCTTTCAGCCTGCCGCTGGTTCAACCATACCTCCACTATCCAACATTTTTTTTTTTTTTTACGGGGAATAACCCACCCGTGGTCAAGGGGGCAAAAAAATATGAGTAAAGATAAATTAAAAATAGAAAAGAAAAAGTTGATATTAATATACACCACGAAGATCCCGGAAATCAGCTTTTTAAAGTGAGACTGATTGTATGAGTATGGAATCACAGAAGAAGGCAGAACATTACACAGTTTGGTTGTGTAAGGAAAGAAGGATGTACTGCAACAGGTTATTCTAGTGTGACCGACATTCACAGAGAAACGGTGGGCACAGCGGGCAAGACGAGTGTTACGAGCCCATGGCGTTGCCGGCGGTACACAGGATGCCAAATCCCCCGAACATTACCCGTTAGAGTACCTGTAAAAAAGAGAGAGTGACGCAACATTGCGGGGAAGAGAAAGGGAAGAAAGATTATCAACTAAAGAGGGAGAGTTAATAAGACGAAATGCCTTTAATTCCACCCTATCTAACAGTTGGACAGAAGAAGAGCCACCCCAGATATGAGAACAGTACTCCAAGTTAGGAAGAATGAATCCATTTTATACTTGAAGCAACTGCTCAGGAGTAAAGTAGCTACGGCATCTGTACAGCACTCCCAGCTTTCGGGAGGCAGCTTTAGCAATGTTGAGGATATGTGGCCTCCATGACATATTAGATGAAATGGTGAGGCCTAGCATATCTATTTTAGAATTTGGCAGAATGATTGCATCTTGAAATGTGATTGGTGGGAGATCATCTAATTTGAAAAGTGTAATTGGTAAATACTGAGTTTTATTAATATTGAATTTAACCAAGTTCTACCTCCCCATTCGGAGATGCTGCACAGATCCACATTGATAGATGTAATGATATCAGCTCTAGAAACAGATATACAGTAGTTTGTGAATTAGGGGGGGGGGATGTGAGGAAGAGTGAAGAGTTGAATCATTAGCGTAAGAATGGATAGAATTAGTTGTAGTGTGAAGTAAATCATTGATAAAAAGAAGGAAGAGAGTAGGTGAAAGAACAAAACCCTGTGGGACACCACTATTGGTGGTGAAAGAGTGAGAGATCGATCCCTCGACAACAACTGCCATGGATCGGTTCTCAAGGAAGCTAGAAATTAGAGAACAAAGTGGGGAAGAGAAGCCAGAAGAGGGAAGTTTAGAAGGCAAAGACTTGTGCCATAACTTGTCAAATGCTTTCGAGATATCGAGGACCACGACGAAAGTTTCCCCAATCCCTAAGAGAGGATGACCAAAGATGGGTGCAATAGGAGAACAGATCACCAGTAGATCTCGCCTGGCGAAAGCCACATTGGTGATCCGACAAAAGAGAATGACGTTCAAGGTGACGTAGAAAATGAGAGTTTAATGGTACTTCTCTCTCTTATGTTACTCACTTTCAGTACCTTGGCTCCCACCTGTCCACCACTGCGGACATGGATGAAGAGATTTAAGATCAGATCAGATGCTCATCTCAAGCCTTTGGTGAACTCCGTACCCGTGTCTTCAGCTGTAAGGAGCTGAAATAATTTACAAAACTGCATGTGTATGGCAGTGAGACATGGGTCACATATTGCAGGCAGCTCAAGACATTCGAACAATTTCACCAACGTAGTCTACATTCCATCCTCCGAGTTTGCTGGGAAGACAAGAGAACAAATGCCAATATTCTTGCTGACACCAACTGTAGGAGTATCGAAGCTACCATTATCCATGAACAACTACGTTGGACTGGCCATGTTACCTGCATGGACGTCAGTAAACTGCCAAAGCAGCTACTTTGGCGGACAACGGAAGTGGTATACAGTAAGGAGATTCTTAAGACAAACCTGAAAAAGTGCCAAATCGACCCCGTCACCTGGGAGACGATCATTCCACACTGTAACGCTTGGAAAAGCTCGACTCCATAATGAGGCAGCCAAGCCGCAGCGCCGGAAAGACGCTGCCGCCATCCCTCCCGCACTAAATGTAGCCCTTCACAGGTTCAACATCTGTGGACGACCCTGCCGATCTCGTATTGGCCTCTCGAGTCACCCCAGAACTTACCGACGAAGGTGATAGCCTTAATAAGCCATATCATTATATCATTGTATCATAGCTGGATGATCGTCATACTCGATTCCGAGTGACAGCAATGTAGTAGTAGTATTAGTAGTAGTAGTAGTAGTGTGTGTGTGTGTGTTTGTTCTCCTGAGAGTCACGGCTCTCTTATTTCGGTGTTCTGACTGACTGACTGGTGGGCAGTAACAACTGAGCTCTTGGGTTTAGTGTGAATAATTACAATGGAATAAAACGAGAGAGAGAGCTGGAGACTTTACCTGGGTAGTAAGTGAGGCGCTGTTGTCACTGCCACCGTGCATGTAGCAGATACCTAACTCTGTTATGAAGGTCAACACGCTCACTATCAGTCCTGAAACCCAAGATGAACATGAGAAGGTACTCGGTGATGATATGTTTATCTTTGTTGTGTTATCATTGACCCAGGTGGAGTGGTTAATATCACCTATATTATTTATTACCCTGATTCACACACACTACCCCCTTCTTCTTCTTCTTCTTCTTCTTCTTCTTCTTCTTCTTCTTCTTCTTCTTCTTCTTCTTCTTCTTCTTCTTCTTCTGCTTCTTCTTCTTTACCACATTCTCCCTCTCTCATTCTCACATCTGTCTCTTTCTTTCCTTCTATACCCCTTTCTATCTCTCTCCTACTACAGTATACTATATACTTCATCTGTCTCTCTCTCTCTCATCGAGTTTCTCCTCTTACCTCTCCCGGTCTTTCTCCTCCTCCTCCTCCTCCTCCTCCACTTCTACCCCTCATCTTACTTATTCATCTACACTTAAGAACATAAGAATGGAGGAAACTGTAGCGGGCCTATTGGCCCATACTGGGCAGTCCCATTTACACCTAACCCCTATTGCTCATATATCCATCCAACCTATGTTTGAAGCTATCCAGCGAATTCGAGTTGATGATGATATTTGGTAACTTGTTCCACTCGTCCACTACTCTATTTCCAAACAATGTTTACCTATTTCGCGCCAAAATCTAAATTTGTCTAATTTAAAACCATTGTTACGAGTTCGCTCCTGGTTGGATAGTTTGAGCACCTTTGTACTGTAATGTGCCCTTCGTTTAGCCCTGACTTCCATGTATACACCTCTATCATATCGCCCCTCACTCTACGTCTCTCGAGGGAGTGCAAATTAAGATGCTTTAACCTGTCTCTGTACTCAATGTTTCTAATGCCCGGGATTAGTCTTGTCATTCTCCTCTGAATTCTGTCCAAGGATTCTATATCCATTCTGTAATACGGTGACCAGAATTGAACTGTGTAATCCAAGTGAGGTCTCACAAGCGCAAGATATAGTTTTAGGATGACCTCGCTAGTCTTGTAACTAACACTCCTTTGTATGAACCCAAGTACTTTATTAACCTTGTTTCGAGGAAATACACATTGCTTACTTGGCTTAAGATTCCTACTCATTATTACTCCTAAATCTTTCTCGCAGTCGGATTTCTCAATAACATCGTTGTTCATCTGGTAACTGGTTTCCCTGTTTACATCTCCTATACTGAGTACTTTAAATTTGTCCACATTGAATTTCATCTGCCATTTTTCAGACCATTCGAAAATTTTTTTTAGATCTTCCTGTAGTTTTGCGGAGTCCTAGTCAGATTTAATTACGCTCCCCATTTTAGTGTCATCAGCAAATTTACTTATGTTGCTTGTCTACGCCGATATCTATGTCGTTTATGTATATAATAAATAATAATGGTCCAAGTACTGAGCCTTGGGGAACTCCACCAGTGACGTTGCTGCAATCGGATTTAGTGCCGTTAATGCTCACTCGCTGTTTCCTGTCCTGTAACCACGCCCTAATCTATTTTAGAATATCTCCTTTAATGCCATGAGCCTCCACTTTTCTTTTTAGCCTTTCGTGGTGGACTCTGTCGAAGCTTTGCTAAAATCGAGATATACCACATCATAATTGTGCCCCTCGTCCACTGATTCGGAAATAGATGCAAAAAAATATTAATAGATTAGTTAGACATGAACGCCCTTAGTTAGACACGCCTTACTTAGACATGAACACCCGCTTGTGAAACCATGTTGGGAATCATTGATCAACTTGTGCTTCTCCAGGTGATTTTGAATAGAGTTTGATGTTAGACTGATTGGACGGTAGTTAGAGGATAGTGATCTATCTCCCTTCTTGAAAATCGGTATTACATTCACTATCCTCCAGGATTCTGGTACTACACCCGTTTTTAAGGACATGTTCAACAACTTTGCTAAGGGCATACGAAGCTCTTCCTTACATTCCTTTAATACTCTGGCAAATATCTCATCTGGACCTGGTAACTTAATAGGCTTTTGTTTGTCTATTTACTTACTAGCATCGTTACTAGTCACTACTATCTCGCTTAATTTATTTTGCTTCACTATCTCTGTATAGAGTCGGTGCCTCAGGTATCATGTTTAAATTTTCGGTGGTGAAAACTGTCGAAAAATATTTATTCAGATTATTGCTTATTTCTATGTCTTTATCAGTTAGCTCGCTGGTATTTGACTGTATTGGTCTAATCTTTTCTCGTATTTTAGTTTGATACATTTGATAGAATCCCTTGGGGGTTTGACTTCGCCTCCCTTGTTACCTTCAGCTCATTATTCCTCTTTGCTTTTCTTATCTTGGTCTTAACCCTACCGGCCAATACCTTATAATAACCTCGGAGGTAAACTTCATCACGATTTATTCTCCTACCTATATTGCCCTTCCTTTATCCAATAATATTCTTTAAATAATTATTTATCTATTTAGGGTCATTGTTGTTTAATCTGAGTTTTCTGTATGGTATGTTCTGCCTTTGTGCATTAAGTAACTCATTATTTAAATTGTTGTGGAACTCGTCAACCTCAGATCTCGTGATCAGGTGATCCTCAGCCGTCAGGTCTCCAGGTAAGGTGAGGTCGTGCTCTGTGAGTACAGTGTGAGGTCACCTCATGTGAGGTCATGTAATTCACCCCCAAGCGTGATACCCCTTCTTTCAGCTGCCTCTTCAAACTATCAAAGTTTGCCCTTCTGAAATCTGGGACTTTAGTGGAATTTTCCTTGCGACTGTCCTGAAATTCTAATTTAAATCATATTTCTTTGTGATCGCTGTTAGCAAGTTCGTTCCCTACCTCGAAATTACTAATGAGGTTTTCTCTGTTTGACAGAACTAAAGCGAGTATATAATTACCCCGGGTGGGTTCGGTTATATGTTGGCTTAGGAAACAGTTCTGGATTATTTCAAGAAAATCCTCTTTGCTTTTCATCCCAAATAAATCTCTCATTAACTCTATCAAGATTAGGTCTATATATTACTCTGTGATTAATTTTTCCCTACCATCGATTAATTCTATCCAAATTGTTTCTGCATTCCGCTCAGTTATTATTTTTTTATTTATTTCACACTTCAGATTATCCCTGACGTAGATTGCTACTTCGCCTCCTTTCCTAATCTGCCTATCGGGAAGGAATAATTTGTACCTGCAATTGGGTATTTGACAGGTACCTCACGTGAGTCTAGGTTAATCCATATTTCGGTAATGCTATTATATCGTTACGTTGTCACACTGTGTTTATACATAATTTCTCTTAGTCCACTTCACCTGAGAGATCCATCATCTCTTAACACAGTTTGCTTCTTACTTTTTTTACACCTTAAAGGAAAATAGCTACAGGTATGATATCTGGAAAATAATTCTTTCCTGTAACGATTATATATATTTTTTGATATGAGTTAGGGGGGTGTTGAATACTGTATTAATTTATTACCATTATGAATATTCGAAAAAGATATTTGTCTTCTATTCATGATTTCTGCATTTTAATATTAATACTTTACATTATTTGTACTAAAAAGATTCTTCATTTTGTTTACTGTACGTACCTTGTGACCCAGCTTACCTGCCGCCAACACCATGAAAGGTCCTGACATGGCTTCAGTGTTGAGGGGAGCGATACCCTCCCTGCGGTCAGAAGTGGGCGGACGGAGGCACTGAGTGGTGTTGGTAATCTCTGCCGCCAGCCACTTGTCTAGGATGCCAGACTCCTTCACGGCACGGATGCTGTCAGATGAAGATTGTATCCATCTGCTTAGAACGAGGTAAAATGGTCAACAGCTATATATGGTCACTTTCCTACTTATGTGGATTTTTGTTTTTAGTTTTATCTCAGCATTATCGTCTTGCAAAACATGAAAAACATAATTGTATGGAGAAAAAAAATCACGGAAAAAAAAAAAAAATATTTTTTTCCTAGAAGCAACTATAATTTAGCATACACTCTTATCTCACTGTAATGTTTACATGACCAACACGAGGCACGTACTGTAAGTATTACTATACCAACATACGAGAACAGAGGAATCATGCTGACGTAATTTTGCGAAATAACTTACAAACAGGCTAACCAAAGCTAAAAGAAAAAGAACAGGACCACTTAACTGCTTATCCCTCTACACGAGCCATTCTAACCTAACCTAACCTAACCTAACCTAACCTCTTACTTAACCTAACCATAAGGTTAGGTTGGTTTAGGTTATCTGTAAGTTATTTCGCAAAATTTCCAATATGCATGTCAGTAATTTTGCAAAATAACCTACAGTAAATCTAATAAGATGATACGATGTCTGTTTCAAACCTACATTTTGTTGGCTCTGGGGCGGTAGGTGGAGTTGATCTTAAAGGCCATGGAGATCAGCACATTACTATAGACATTCTCTCGGGAGATGTACAGGTGACACTGGCCGCTGGTGCTGAGGAAGAGCACGTGTTAGGAGAGCAGGTAACTGTATAGACGAAATATATACAATATATCTATCTAATATACTATAGGACAAGGCGCCTGTCTGTCTGTCTGTCTGTCTGTTTTGGGCAGCCGAAACGGCACAATCGTTTTTCATCAAAATTGATGGAAAAATCGCAAAAAAATCGTAGAGTGGAACAAACCTGGTCCCATGTCGATGGTTTCTTTAGGAAGGCATTAATTAGCAATTTTATTTACGATGGAAAACGATGCAAGTCTACTGACTTGGCGCACCCTAATTAACCATGCAAGTCTACGGACTTAGCGCACCCTCATTCGCTGCAAGCTGTCAGCCGGACGGCGAACCTGGCACGAAGGGCCTACTGTCATACAATACAATACAATGTAATACAATACAATACAAAACAAAACAAAACAGTACAGTACAGTACAGTACAATATAGTACAATACCATACAATACCATACAATACCATACCATACAATACGATACACAACGAACTATAAATATTTGCAAGAATAAAACATAATTATATAGACATGTAAGACTCACACCTTGATAAGATATCCGTAAGACATTAGCTATTGGAAATGTGATTAAAGGTTTTGTTATTAATCCAGTGTGAAATGTATCGGTATTGGTGGTACAATCCTAATGGTCTCTAATCCTGTTGATTAGGTGAGGTTAATCTGGGTTTATTGAGATTAAAGAAAAGGTGTGGGGTTTATTCTACCTGTGATAGTCTCAGGTACGACCCTTATTGTAACAATCACGACTATGATTATAACAACCAGGACCATGATTACAACAACCACGACCATGATTATAACAACCACGACCATGATTATAACAACCACGACCATGATTATAACAACCACGACCATTATTATAACAACCACGACCATGATTATAACAACCACGACCATGATTACAACAACCACGACCATGATTATAACAACCACGACCATGATTATAACAACCACGACCATGACCATGATTATAACAACCACGACCATTATAACAACCACGACCATGATTATAACAACCACAACCATGATTTTAACAACCACGACCATGTTTATAACAACCACGACCATGATTATATCAATCACGACCATCTTAAAACAACCACGACCATGATTATAACAACCAGGACCATGATTATAACAACTACGACCATGATTATAACAACCATGACTGATTATAACAACCACGACCATGATTCTAATAACCACGACCATGATTATAACAACCACGACCATGATTATAACAACCACAACCATGATTATAACAACCACGACCATCATTATAACAACCACGACCATCATTATAACCACCACGACCATCATTATAACAACCACGACTATGATTATAACAACCACGACCATCATTATAACAACCACAACCAAGATTATAACAACCACGACCATGATTATAACAACCACGACTATGATTATAACAACCACGACCATGATTATAACAACCACGACAATGATTATAACAACCACGACCATGATTATAACAACATCGGTAAACTGTACCGCCGAATTCGCCACCGGGCACGAAGGGCCCACGATGACTTGTGTACAGTATGTACTATAGATGATGCAAGTTTAATGTATAGGCCAATTTTATATTTATGATACCGGAGGATTGTCTATAGACGAAATGTATACGTATATTGCATATACTGTACGTATAAGTATTCTATATACAGTCTATATCTATCTTAGTATAGAAGTCATATGCAGAGACGATTTCGGTATATGTACATGTTGACTATAGTACTAAAAGAGGTGGACATATTGACGACATACATAATCTATAATGAATCTATATAAATGCAGTAAATGACATTTAACCTATAGGCAGAAGAAGTAATAGACACGTATGCTAGGATATAAATATATGAATGATGTTTATATGTGTTTGCAAAGGAAGAATATCTATAAATGGATTGTAATAGGAATAGTAATGTTGAAAAAAAGTAATGGTGCAAGGTGAAGGAAAATTCATCCTTGACAATTAATGGCTGTTGAAGTTACAAGCAACAGAACATATAATGACTCTTTCTTTTATGTTGGCTCCTGTTGATTTTAAGTGTACAGCTGCTTTTGTTGTTACTGTTATCATTTGTTATGTAGCTTCTGATTATGGATCTGGGATAATAAACAACAACAACTTGTTGATGGTTCAAATATTACACTTTAAATTAATGGGTTCCTTTGCAGCCCCGATTGCTCGCCACGTGTAATTATTCGATGGTGAATTGATAGATAGATAGATAGTGTAATGGGCCCCTGTCTCATCAACAGAACATATTATATAAATGGGTCAATACATCTGATATTATATTCAGATTCACCCCCTGTAACTTTCCACTGTCTATGAGTAAGAAATGGGTTGTACACGTGAGAGGGCAACTCTCCCAGGAGGGAGAGACCCATAGTCAGCATATCTGTAAGCCCGCACAGCGAGGCCCTCACTCTTCAGTCGCACACTTCATTCGTGCATGTGAAGATAACATGCGCACTAGTCAAATAACGACTGATGAAGATAAAAAGGCATATGTACGTTCCCACATTACGCAGGGTTCTTATGCCGGCAGTCGGTTAAATGCGTTTGGTTTGCAGAGCCCTGATTATGAAAAATTTAAGCGAACGTTAATTGGGATCTTTGGGGGTAGGTCACAGCTGGGCCAGCTGCAATGGATCTTCAGATGGATGGATCGTTGCACGCCAGGGATACGCAATGAAACGCCTGTCGACGCTGTCGACATCGCAGGTGAGGTTCGCCAGGACATGCAAGCGACATTCCGGGCCTCAGACTGGTACGACGCGCAGGGTAATATGTCAGCGGACAATGTGGAAACGTTGATAGAACTAATAAGTTTTCTGCTTTACGTCCGTCGTCCCTTATATAGCCGGGCACAAGAAGTACAGTATGAACCACCCCTGGATATGGTGGAATACGCAAATAAGCTCTGTCCCCAGGCTACGGGCCCCTTAATGGCACAGCCCTCAGTGACGTCACCGCAACCTTTGACGTCTATAGTGCAACCCCAGATGCCTCACATGGCGCACATGCATCACTCCCAGACTCCTTATGCGACACACTTGGCTCCGATTGCTCCTCCCTGCCTGACATATAAACAAAAAACATCTTTACGATACGCACATTGTAATAAACGTGGCCACGTAATGGAAGATTGTTTTCAGCTCCGAGGTAATAGTGCAAATTTTAAGGCCACACCCGGTGCAAAGCCATTCTCAAGGTCATACAGTGAGGCAGCCAAACCAGCACCTCCTCTTAACAAGAAAGCCCGCAAATGGTGCTCTCTTCACAAATCGACATCTCATAGTTCACATGAGTGCGATGTGCTAATAAAGGCTAGGGGTGTGGACCTTAGTGAAACAGAGGTGTCGTATAGGCGTAAGCAGAAACGTCCCCAGGACAAGTCGTCGGGGGAAGACCAGCACACACCACAACAAGGAGAGGGATAGCTAGGGCAAATCCCGCCCCTCCACACAGCACTTCTATAGCGGCGTCGTTGGTAGCGGCGCTTAGCAAAGTGGAAGTGTTGTCAGTGCAGGTGAGAGTGGATAATACCAGATTGGCTCTTGATTTAGACACAGGTGCTTGCGCTAATGTATTGACCTTGACATCATATCACGAGTTACAACGTAAATTCCCTAACCGCAACTTCAAATGGAGGCCTAGTAACGCTGAGCTCGAAGGAGTTTCAGGTACTCAGCTGAGCATCAAAGGAATGGTGACGTTACCACTCAGATTCTCAAGACGTGGCTCTCCCTTCTACGCGGACTTCTATATAGTCCAGCAGTTTAATTTGCCAGCCGACGGGTTACTTGGTCTACCAACTCTTCGAAAGAACATGATAGATGTTCTTCCACGTAATAATAGTGTTACGTTTAAAGGTGTTTCCTACACAGCAATGAGTCATTCTGAACCTTTGCTCACAGCTACGACGAAAGTGTTGTCTACCAATCCTATTAAGAGGAAGGCGGATCGTGCTTCAGAGATACCTCTTTACCTCAACCACACACTTTCCCAGCGTGATTACAGCAACAAGAGTTGGAAGATCGTACCAGCAGTGTTGAAGAGTACTCTCCATTACCAAAATGAGGAAATCACCAAAGCAACTGTCGAACTACCCAACGTGTACACGGGCACAGATGTTGTGTGTCTCCCGGAAATGTGCAAGGTAAAAGGGCTGTCATGTGAATCTATCCTGAGCACTATACGCCCTGGTGGTTTGACAGACGTACTGATTCTAAATCGAACAGGCGTTCAACGAATCTTAAAGAAAGGATGTTATTTGTGTGATTTTCTAGTATATCACAACAATGTCGAAGTACAGCCTACTAAATTCCCAATTCGAGGTATTGTTTCGAAGTGCCAACAGACTCGACTGGCCAGGATAGATCAAATAGCACCACATGTTAAGGTGATCGATCATCCCCAGGGCAAGACACGCCTTTTATAGCTGCTTACCGACTATAGAAATATAGTAGCCTTGCCAGGGGAAACGCTAGGTCAGACAGATTTAACATCCCATCATATAGCGTTAAAGGGGGGAACCAACCCTATTTACGTACCAGCTTATAGCTAACCTCATGGCCAGCGCGCTGTAGTGCAAGATATGGTACAGGGTATGTTAGATGAGAATGTTATTAGACACTCAAAATCCCCCTTCAATAGCCCATTATTCCTCGTCCCGAAAAAGGATGGTGGATGGCGCCCTGTTATAGATATCAGGCGCGTCAATGATCAAACGATCCCTGATAGGTACCCTATGCCTATCTTCAGCGACATATTGCAATCCTTAGGCAAGGATAATGCGGTATTTAGCAAATTAGATTTGTTTAGTGGGTATTGGCAAATACCACTCGATGAGAAATCACGAGAAATCACGGCATTTAGCTCGCCTCTAGGCCACTTTGCGTTTCCACGAATGCCATTTGGTCTCAGAAATGCCCCACTAACATTTCAAAGAATGATCAACACCCTGTTTGCCGGATTGATTGGTACCACAGTCTGCGCTTATTTGGATGATCTAGTAGTAGTCAGTAAGGACGTCGATTCCCATCTGATTAAAATGCGTGAAGTGTTGGACAAACTTTCCACAGCAGGCCTCAAAATATAACTCTCAAAGTGTGAGTTTTTAAAATCAAGAATCCATTTCCTTGGTCATGTAGTTGACGGTGAGGGCATACATACACTACAGTTAATGATAAAGTCAAAGCTGTATCTCAGTTCCCGCGTCCTACCTCAAATGATCATGTGCGTAGCTTTCTTGGCTTATCTGGATATTTCCGTTGCTTTATCAAGAACTATGCAACATTACCATCGCCCCTAACGAGGTTGCTCAAAAAGATGCAATGTGTATATGGGACGCTGAACACGAAGATAGTTTTACTGCATTGAAGATAGCGCTTACCAATGCCCCGGTTCTTGCATTCCCAGACTACACTCAACCTTTCACTCTCTGTACTGACGCTTCCGGAATTGGAGTCGGAGCAGTGCTCATGCAAGAGGATACGCGTAGGAAGTTTAGAGTGATAGCATTTGCAAGTCGCAAACTAATTGATGCTGAAACACGTTATTCGGTGACGCATTTAGAAACGTTAGCCGTTGTGTGGGCACTTAAGAAGTTCAAAGACATTATCTTTGGCTACAAGATAACTGTTTTTACTGATCATGCGGCAGTCACCGAACTGTTCCATGGCAGAAACTTATAAGGCAGATTAGCACGCTGGTATCTGACAATTCAAGAGTTTGACCACGAATTTAGGTATTTACCTGGGAGGGCGAATGTTGTCGCCGACGCTCTGTCAAGAAATATAGCACCAGTCATGCCTGTATCAACATTCACTCTTTCGCAACTGGAAGATGAGCAACGACGTGACCCATAATGGTCAGCTGTTATTTTTGCTCTCGAATCGGGTGAGGATATTAAACTCCCCAAGTTATTTCTTCCCTTAAGTCAGTTTGAATTACGACATAACATACTCAATAGGACGAGAAAATCTCCTGAGGGTAATGTGTCTCAAATTGTCGTACCTGACAGGTTGTGCAAAGCAGTAATGACGTTGTCCCATGATGTCCCACAGGCAGGTCACCAAGGTCGTGATAAATGCTTAGCGGATTTACGAAAGAAGTATTTCTGGAACACTATGAAGAAAGACAGAAATACACATAGCTAATTGTTTGGCGTGTGCTCAACATAAAGGTTCAACAGGATCACCAGCCCCGATTCTACAATATCCTACACTAGACCGTCCGTTTGACACAGTCGCTATTGACTTGTTACAACTCCGGATGAGTCATCAGGGATCAGCCTACGTCTTAGCATGTGTGGATCATTTTTCAAGGTTCGTGGTCTTGGTCCCACAAAAAAGCAAAACGGCCGAAGCAGTAGCCTATGCTTTAGTGATGAATCTTATATGTCCATATACTACGCCTAAAGTTCTGCTCTCTGACAATGGCACAGAGTTCAAGAATCAGCTAGTAGCGCATATATGTGCACAATATGGTATTAAACAATATTTTGTGACAGCTTATCATCCACAGGCTAATGGCCTTGTTGAGAGAACCAATCGTAAAATCCTAGAAATACTGCGTCCAATTGTCAGCGGTTTTCATACGCATGGGAGGATTGGTTACCGCAGGTTGCAGCGTCGATAAATGGGTCAGTTAATAAATTGTCCAGAAGCAGAGTGTCCCAAATGACTATTGTATGAAATTTCGTTCTACGAATAGACGTTAAATCGTTTGTTATTCCTTACAGAATGGCTTGGATCTTCAGTGTGTTGCTCCTACTCTGTTGTGGCACCGTTGTGTTGACAGACATGTCCACGTCAGTCCTCAAACCAGGTGGACTTGTGGCACCTCTCGGACGCGTTCTCATAGTTGAGGACGTGGTGAACATCAAGTATGAACTACATCCACTACTCCAACTTCCGCGTCAGATGGAAAACGTCGACGGCTAACTACAATCAGCATTGGACATCCTTCGTGGTCTCAGCACAGCTTCTAAGAATTCGACAATAGTTTCACAAACTATAGACCTTCTACACTTTCGTCTCCAGAACCTTCGCGAGTTTCTCGTCGATGTTGGGAAAAATCTACCTGCGTCTCAAGCGGATCTTGCTAAAGAATTGCATTCTCAGGCACGACGAAAAAGGGGTCTCTTTAATTTTGTGGGTCTCATCCAAAGCGCCTTGTTTGGCACGGCAACGGCCGCTGATGTAGCTAAATTGGGGGGCCGAATGAACGTTGTCGTTCAGGTTGTATCTCAACAGAGTCGTGTTACTTCTCAAACCTTTCACGCGATTACTGCTCTAGAATCAAAGGTTAATGCAATCATATTGGAGTCTAACCAAGTTTCGAGGATTGTTATTAGGTTACAGAAAGCAATCCTGACATTAGAATGGCTCCTTTATTTCACAGAATATTTGCATGCTGCTGAAATTTTAGTTCATAAAATTGTAACCTCTAAAAATGAACTAATAGACAGCATTGTAGATGCCGGGATAGGACGTGTGGACGCGAAGCTTGTGCCTGTGCAGACGCTTCTTGAAGCTTTAAAAATAGCCAAGTTGCAGTATCATTTAACTCCTATTTTTAATGACAATGAGGTTCACTATTATTACCCACTGTTGGAGTCAACTCTCACGCACAATGCAATTCTGATCCACATTCCTATGCGAGGGCACCATGAGTTTAATGCATGGCATTTATAACCCTTCCCCTGGTTTGTGAACGACACACTGTATACCCTGGATAGGCCTAAAGAACTTTTCTTATTAGATGAAGAGTATTCTTTGTTATCAATAGAGGATTCTGAGGTACTGTCACGGTGTAAGTCATCTTATATACACCTACACGTATGTCCAGCCTACATGTTCGCATTTATTCCTGCTGCAGAGGGAATATGTGAATTAGCAGTCATACAACCAAATGTACGCACAGCATTAGCGCAATGCAGTTATAGGCCAGTTAGTCTAAAGACTATGTTCCACGCTCATCTTCACAATGTGCGGTATTTGTTCTTTCCAAATCTCACTACTGTCATTTTAAAATGCCATGATGGTGTTAAGCAGCTAGTTGTGAAAGGGCATTACAAGGCTCCTGATTACTGTGAAATCACTTGTAGTACATTGCGGACCTTGCCTACTCATCAGCATTTTACGTTAAATATAAAACTCAAGTCTGCTTTAATTTAACTTCCTATAATGAATTTCACTATTAAGGATATTCAAATAGTATCAGAGAAATTAAAGTTTTAGCTTTCTTGAACGAGACGTATTTTGCTGATTTGAAAAATAACTTGCCATTTTACCTATCACGGGAATTTGCACTACCAAGTCTTAAAATTCCCTCTATTTTGTTAATTCTGGCAATTATGTTCCTGTTCTGTTATTACAGGGCAGTGTCACCCAAATTCAACATTGTTCATAACATACTAACCTGTACGACACTAAAGTCTAGGTCCCCTGTAGTAGCTAATACCCCTACAGTAGTAGAATCCCCAGCTCAGTGTCTACATATCTGTTTATAACATGGTTAGGGTTGTCTAGGATGTACTGTACTCTGTGAGTTATTTAGGCCTCACGGAGCTCGGCTGGTAGGTGACTGAGCGATGTAATGGGCCCCTGTCTCATCAACAGAACATATTATATAAATGGGTCAATACATCTGATATTATATTCAGATTCACCCCTGTCTATGAGTAAGACATGGATTGTACACGTGAGAGGGCAACTCTCCCAGGAGGGAGAGACCCATAGCCAGCATATCTGTAAGCCCGCACAGCAAGGCCCTTACTCCTAAGTCGCTCACAGAAAGTAATATCGTAAGGAAGTGACCTAACGTTTATAATACATAAACGCCGTCCCTTTCTCATTCACTCCTAAACAGTGGAGCTTACGGTCGATCTACACTCAGGAAATATATATACAATCCTTTTATAATAAAACAGGGAAGTACCGTTTGGGTTTCGTTACTTAAACCCAAATAATAAATATATGTGAACGGCCTGGTTAATTGCACAAGTAGCCGATTCATAATAGATTAATAGATAAATAGACAGATAGATATTTTGTAATAAGTAACGCAAACAATAACAACATAATATATACTTAATAAAAGCCTTCACACATAATCATAGAGGCCATTTATGGATTTAAATTTCTAACAAAATTAAATCGTTTTTGTCTATATTTAAAAAAGAAACTGCTTGTGTGGCTTCTTATTAATGACCATTCTCTCACGTAAGGCTGTGACAGAGTACCTAAAGTCCCAGGACATGGCCTTCTTCATGGTGGTCCTATCACATATGGCAGCAAACTCCCCACTGGCGATGTCTTCTCGCGACGCCCAACAGTCAGGGAAGGTTCCGGCAGTATCAGTGAATACTTTCCTTCGTACCTTGTCCTCAGACTCCTAATGTGAGAGTGCAACAGATAATATTGATATCATAGACATGGAAGAGTTTCTAAATTTCGTAGATTGTGTTTTATTCTGCATTTTTTTTAAATATATTTGAATGGGTATGACTGATCCTACTTGAAAGCTAGTTAAATTGTTTCAGTATGTAAGTTCATTGCATAATTTGGCTTTTTTTACTCGTGGTCAGCTCTCTGGTGGTTCTGAAATCAAATTTTTTTGAGTGTCAGTGATCATTCACTTCCACGCAAAAACACCAAAACAAATTGTTGTAGTCGACTAGTAATATGTCGTGTTAAGATTTTTACCTGGAAGTATTGAAACATCATAGAACCAGCCTCCAGGCGCCAGGGCAGGTCAGACTGAGACACTAGATCAGCCAGGGAGTCTATGGGGATGGTGACCCGAGGCACCGTCAACATGGCCGTCAGGATGCCACCGTACGAGGACATGAACACTAAGGAGGCAAGGAGCCACGTGGTCACAATGAGGCGACCTCCGTCCTTCTTGGGCATCCAATCAGAGCCTGCGAGAGGATGGGGGAAGGGTCGTCATGGCCATGTAGGATATAGAAGGTTATGAACACTTAAGTGACACAGGAGTCATAGGGTCACTAGGAGGAGGACCTCACCCTTTCTTGGTGTTCGACATCCAACTTTTCTAGCATATCCTCCAAAAGCAAAAATCTTACTATAAAATTTTTAATATTCGGCATATCTCAGCCAGGCCTGACTGTCATAATTGTCTTAAAAAAACCCCACTTTTTTATGATTATCAGTACTGTTATATCCTTATTGCGCTCACAATACATTATCGTGTATTCCAACTACAGTACCTGTGTCATCAAACAGTACTTCTCAATGACTATAAAGAAATAAAGACTTCATTCAAATTTTCAGTAGCATCATATATATATATATATATATATATATATATATATATATATATATATATATATATATATATATATATATATATATATATATATATATATATATATATATATATATATATATATGTAACCGGTCGGAATATACGGGACTTTAGTTTCTCACTTGACTTGGGATTTATTAAAGATTAATAGATGGTAATGGCAGTGGAAGCGCCCCTTTGAGAAAAATCCCGAACCAGCACAAGAACACTTAAATCTACTAAACAAAATGAATTGTCCGAGACCCGTGGAAGGATAGCGTCTGTGACTGGGATGAATGAGACACTCTGTAAAATTTAGACACTTATATTCCCTCCAACACTACAAACACAATCAAATAATGGTACACCAATATGCGCACCTCTTAACTCGAACTTAAAACACTACTCTGGGGAATAAAAGTTATACATGATATAGAAAATATTAGAAACTCAGGCAACAATAAATTTGAAGTATTATGAAATGTTGCTTGCACACATGAAACAGGCCTTAAGGGCTTTCAACAAAATAATATCCAGCACTGACAAAATGGTATTCAAAAATAAGAAATTAATAATTCCACCATGAATAGGCCTAAAGGGCACTCAATATAATTATGTTACACCAACAGATGCAGGCCTTAAGGGTTTTCAACAAAATAATATCAGTCACTGAGGAAATGGTTTCAAAAAATAAGAAATTAAATACTCTACAATGAATAGGCCTTAAGGGCACTCAATATAATTATATTACCCCAACAGCTGCACAATTCCTAACCTAACTTAAACACTACTCTGGGGAACAAAGGTTATACCTGAGATCAGAATTATGGAGAAAAATTAGATGCATTAAAAGAATCAAATCACAGTATCACTCTGGTTCCACTTAGTGACACAAACATTCAAACAACAATACTATCAAAATTATTTAAGAAATATTAAACCACACACGTCAAGATAACATCAGTAACTGAGAAATGGTATTAACTACACACAAATATAGTCACTATTATTGATTTGTTACTGGGTCCACCAATACTCGTGAACCATGCTCCACCCAACTCAACATACACCCGTAATAAGGGAGATAAAATGTTCCTCTAGGTATCCCCTAGACTCATGGTCTCAGTGTGCGACCCTGTATCACTCAGCTGGCCTCACTTTGCCCCCAGTACATCCATGAAACGGAAGGGAGTGAGCAAATCAGACCTTGTACAGTTGAGAGAAGCTGTAGCTTCCCGTTAGCAAGAGGGTTTCACTAAGCTGCTCGAGACATGTGGTGTTGTGAGCCGAGGTAGAGGAGAGCTGCTGACCCCAACGATCGTCCCGTCGTCAGCTGGGCACCCAGACCGCTAGATTCCCTCAAGAGATCCTTTGATACCCCGCTAAACAGTGACAGGCCTACACTGATCGGTCCAATGGCGACAATCGCCACCCTCAATCATCAACGGCAGTCTCAAACGGCAGTCAATCTCTCGCAGTCAAACTCCGGTCACTCAGGTCAACTCCGGTCAACTCCGGTCAAGTGGGTTCTGACGGAAACCCTGAAATGAACTCACTGTTAACTCTTGTTAACTTTACCACTGCCCTATCTAACCCTGTCTGAGATCGAATGAGACTTACTTGTTATACTGCAACAGTGCAACACAGGTGACTAGGCCACGTGACTATTTCTGTGACGGACGGGCAGGGACGTCTTGTTTGTCTGAATGCTCCCCGTGACTGAGAGAGAGCCCGCCTCGTGTCCTCTCAAGGCGTCAGCTTAGGCCTACGTGACATATTTTCCGCCTAACTAATAACTCCTTGGGACACCCGTAACATTATTCAGACTGATAAACGATCTATAATAATTTCAAATTCAATAATAGTCCCTTAACTTAATGAATTGCATCATTATTAATTCGGCAAATTACATTTAATATCACTTAGGCCTAGTTCCACAACCTCTCCCTATGTGCAGGGAGCGCTTTCTTCCCTCCGACGACCTTGAACGCTCATTATCCCTAATAGCGGGGCATTTGAAATTACTCTGAAATTTCTGAATATTACATATATATATATATATATATATATATATATATATATATATATATATATATATATATATATATATATATATATATATATATATATATATATATATATATATATATATATATATATATATATATATATATATATATATATATATATATATATGCTGATAACACAAGGAAGAAAACACAAGTTGTTTCAGTTACATCTTCAGGGGTGTACAGAACTAACCCCTTCTTGTGGTTATCAGCATATATCACGCGCAACTACAGTGATTTACTTGCATATATATATATATATATATATATATATATATATATATATATATATATATATATATATATATATATATATATATATATATATATATATATATATATATATATATATATATATATATATATATATATATATATATATATATATATATATATATATATATATATATATATATATTTCATTAGCCCAATAAACACGAGGACTTCTACATAAAATCAACACCTCAACCTGGCAGGTGTTGATTGTATGTAGAAGTCCGCTTGTTTATTGGGCTAATGAAATATATATGGATCCTCGTGTTTCGAAGCCGGATTTGGTAAAACGTTACTCTGACCACCTAAGTGATACGGGTAGTCCCCATTAGAGGTTCACGGCGCCATAAGCTCGTTGAACAGGCTTTGTGTGAAATATAACAGAGTCTAGGACTGCTTTTAGTATCCTGGTGGTCCAGTGGTTAGCGTTCCCCGGTTACAGTCATGGGCTCGTGGGCCGTGGGTTCGAATCCTGGCGGGTTGAGGTGTTGATTATATATATATATATATATAGATATATATATATATAATGTGGATAAGTCATTGTGCCCCCAAACGCACGCTGTCGACTCACAGAAACATGAAGCAGTAGGTATCACTTACTCTCCTGCGTGAGTGTTTTAACTCCCCACATAGCGGCCTGCGCGAAGGTGTCGCGCGAGAGTAAGTTGAAGACATTGGCCTCAGCTTTCACTACCAGCGCTATTGCCAACACCACGGTCACCAGGCTCACTATCGTCAACATCCACACCTAAACCACGGGGAGATTCCTGTTATTTTTTGGGTTGAATAGAAAATTATATTTGTAAAATGTGATGAAAATTTTCCCTAAATACTATAATTTAATTTTTATACAATACTGCTTTCTTACATTACACAGGGATTTGAATTGCATTACTATAAAAATCCACCAACTACTCTTATAGTGAACCAGCAATATACCCACTGCATTCATTAGCGTTTTAAAACGGGGGGTAACCTTAAGAGTATATAGTGACTAACGTTATGTCTTTCCTGGCGGCTCCATAATATCAAAGAAAATAACTACATATAAGACGCAGCCTTAAACGAAAATGCTAAGTGTTGAGGATAAACGAAAGGCACTTTTTCCTGCTCCTGTTAGATCTGTATTCTTTTCGTACTATTTGAACGGATGAATGGGACGAGCATCAGCAAGAAATTTAAACAAATGAACAGCGATTCTTAGATGGAATATTACAAGGAAATAATTAATTCTTGGATTCATATGATGGAGTCATTAATTAATAGCATTTACTATAAATAAAACCCCTATGATTAGGTAAAATAGTAGTTCTTACCTGAGGTTATGTTGTGTTAGGTTTTCTTCTATTTTCTACCATAATCGCTTATTTGCACTGAAAACACTACATTTATAAATATGTATAATTTTTGTTTTTGTTTTTGCTGAATATTTTGTTAATATTTATGAACGCAGCGCCGGTCATAAAAAAAAAATACCTAATCCATTTCTTTGGATATCCCAAACACAAATCCTCCTTATTTAATTTTAACAGTTTACATTGTATTTACGTGGAAACTAGACTGCTTCATGATATTTGACACTAAAATAACAGTTCACAACAAGTGGATGAATATTTCTATTTAACTTGTCAATAACTATCCTACTATGTTGTTAATAATAGTTAATAAAAAAATCCTCTTGATACGCCGACTGCATCATTTGGGCAGCCCTTTTTGGTTGATGTTGACATTGGTCACGGGCAACATTCTCTCCCTTCTTTGCCACTGTGCATTATGGACATCGCACACTTATCCCAGTTAGATCGGTAAAGAACAGTGAAATTGTGTGATGGAGAACGCTGCGATATCGGTTTCACCGATTGTGAGAGTAAAATTGTCATAAGGAAACGTGCCTGTAGATACCAGTGTTTGTGGGATGTCTTATTATTGTTTACATTAAAGATTTGTCTTATGACATATAACAATTGTAGTGTTTTGTATATATATAGGCATAATAAACTGATTCTGATCGACGATACATGTCATGTGCTTAGAGTAATTTAATTCTTATTTACTACATTTTAGATCCTCTGTGATGTTTCTGGAAAGATGTATAATTATCAAAATAAGACCTAAGAGAATTATGAGAAAAAGAGAGATTCGGTGGCACTGAGGTAGCGTGTTTGACACTAACTACTAGTTTCTTACTGTAATAACACTGAACCTATGGAATATGGTCCTCACTGACTCTAGCAGGGATCCTACAAGTACAGTACAGCACTCGGCACCACTACCAAGCGCACGACCCGTCCGTTATCAAAAAAAAAATGCGATTTTTGTTATCTCCATTATTGGTAACAACATTTATGACATTTTGTCTTTACATCTAGCAGTCATTTAGCAAGGAAAGACACATGCAAATAATTTGGGGAATATTTAATTAATATTGTTACAAAAAATGATCCCACTAACAAAAATCAGCCAAATTTCTCTCTCTCTCTCTCTCTCTCTCTCTCTCTCTCTCTCTCTCTCTCAAAATCTATCCATTATATGCTAGTGGCTAAGAAAAATTGTGCCAGTAGATTACGCTTGAATAACCATGGACAAAGTAGATCCAGTCACACGAAAGTCTGGCCACCTCTGCAAGTCTAGAGATACTAAATTAGCCGACATTGCGAAATTATTTAACTTAAGTATAAGGTTGTAGTTATTTATCTAGTCACGTACTGTACCTTTACTTATTCTACTATTTGTCCAGCATTCGGTCTGATTGCTTGAGGCTGATTATGCTGATTACCTATCCAAACGTAATCAAACCTAACCTAAAACTTAAATAACTTATCCAACCCTAACCTGACCTAACGTTGACTCCCTTTATACAAACATTGTTCTGCAAACTCTTATGTAAAGTCATGGATCAGATCGTTCAAACTTTTTCGTAAAATATTTCACTTCCTCAAAGAATTTAAAAGCATTACCTACGAGCAATAATGTCTACATATTCATCCGCCAAACTTAAACTGACCGAATTCACTAATTAATGGCTCATAATGACGTCAACAGCTTCATGAGCCTCGTCCAATCAGAACGAATGCTAGACAAATAGTGGAATTAAGGGATGGTCAGTGACCGGACAAATAACTATCTTGTAAATATAAATAATAATCAATCATTCAAAGAGAGAGAGACTCCATATTACTCTTTACACACCTCCATAGCGAAGGGTTTGAGGAAGCCTGACATGTCGCTCTGCAGGGTGGGTCGGATCATGAGAATGGCGTTGTTCTCGCTGAAGAAGGGATGGGAGAAGTCACACACCGTCTCCCGCTGAGGCGTCACACCGAAGGGCCCCACAGCAAATTCCACGTCCTGTAGAATTCATCTCTCGAAGCATAAATTTGCATTACCTATCTAAAAGCTTTTCCCACCTGCTCTTGAAATATTTGTTAAATATTGCTCACATATTTTTGTATTATTTTATTTATTTTTGTGGTTTTATTACTAATTTTAATAGAAATTATTCTTGAGGAGATGAGGAATCTTTAATGTATTGCTTCTAAAACCCAGAAAAACTGTATTTGAAGCAACTGAAACATACAAGTATGGCTTTACACTACAATAATTCTTAATTCTGTGGTAAAATGCTTCAGTTGAAAGCCCCATGCTGTGACCCATCAATTGTATGGACATATACAGGAAGATGTAGATCATTGACTCATCTCCCACGACCCACCTTTCTCTGTAGCATCCCCAACAAGCCAGTCCAGGATCCGTCAGGCTGAGGACCTCCCCAGATGTGGTCAGAGGGCTGGACGAGCTCATAGCTGCAAACACCAGAATCACTAGTTAGTATTAAAAATAAAAAGCTTGTTATCACCTGAAGATTAACCATCCTAATACTAACATTACCTAACCTGATCTCCTGAAGTTGCATTCGCGTGATTAATGTTCAGGAGATCCAGTTATATATATATATATATATATATATATATATATATATATATATATATATATATATATATATATATATATATATATATATATATATATATATATATATATATATATATATATATATATATATATATATATATATATATATATATATATATATATATATATATGTAATATTCAGAAATTTCAGTGTAATTTCAAACGCCGCGCCATTGGCGATGCTGAGTTCAAGGTCGTCTGAGGGAAGACTGCTCTCCCACTCACGTAGCGAGAGGTTGTGGAACTAGGCCTATACGATATTTAATGTAATTTACCGAGTTAATAGGAACGCGAATCATGAAATTAAATATCAGTTATTAAATTGAAAATAATTATAGATCGTTTCCTAGTCTGAAAATGTTGCGTACGTCCTAATTAAGCTGTTAATCCTCTGGTAAATAAGTCACTCCTGGAAAGCGTGAACCAGTGAGCAAGCATGGCTGGGGAGCTGTGAGAGAGGTCATGGACCACCTCTGTGCTGTACCCAGGAGAGACGGATCGCGTGACCTGGTTCCTTCGTTTATTTAACATCAGTATAACAAGTAAATCTCATTCGATCTCAGATAGGGGTTAGATAGGGCAGTGATAAAGTTATCAAGAGCTAACAGTGAGTTAATTTCAGGGTTTCCTTCAGAACCCACTTGACTGGGAGAGTGATGACTGCGAGACATTGACTGCCGTTTGAGACTGCCGTTGATGATTGAGGATTGGCGATTGTCGCCGTTGGACCAATCAGTGTAGGCCTGTCACTGTTTAGCGGGGTAGCAAAGAAGCTCTTGAGTGAACCTAGCCGTCTGGGTGCCCAGCTAACGACCGGACGATCGTTGGGGTCATCAGCTCTCCTCTACCTAGGCTCACAATACCACATATCTCAAGCAGCTTAGTGAAACCCTTTTGCTAACGGGAAGCTAAAGCTTCTCTCAACTGTACAAGGTCTGATTGGCTCACTCCCTTCCGCTTCATGGATGTACTGGGGGTAAAGTGAAGCTAGCTGAGTGATACAGGGTCGCACACTGGGTGCCAAGAGTCAGTGGAGCTTAGAGGTAAACTTTCCAAGGTGGAGAAAGGCTGATTTGGGCCTTAAACTACTGGTGCCTGTTGGTTGTGCCTTAAACGACAACGGAGTGCAGGTGGAATCTGTGTGTGTGTTAGGTTAGGAAGCATGGTTCACGGGTATTGGTGGACTCAGTAACTTCTTAATAATAGTGACAATATTTTTGTGTGTAGTTAATACTATTTTCTCAGTTCCTAATGTATGCTGTGTGCATTTAATATTTCCTTATAATGTCAATCTCAAGTATAACCTTTGTTCCCCAGAGTAGTGTTTAAGTTAGGTTAGGAGGTGTGTATCTGTTGGGGTAATATAATTTTGTTAAGCACCCTGAAGGCCTATTCAGGGTGGGGTTAATAAGTTCTGATTTTTATACCATTTTCTCAGTGCTGGATATAATTTTGGTGAGTGCCCTTAAGGCCTATTCATTGTAGAGTTATTAATTTCTTATTTTTTTAATACCATTTTCTCAGTGATTGACATTTTGTTGAAAGCCCTTATGGCCTGGTTCATGTGTGCAAGCAACATTTCTTAATACTTTAAACTTATTGTCCTCTAATGAGGCATTGCCTGAGTTTCTAATAATTTCAACATCATGTATAACTTTTATTCCCCAGAGTAGTATTTTAAGTTCAGGTTAAGAAGTGCGCATATTGGTGTACCATTATTTGATTGTGTTTGTAGTGTTGGAGGGAATATAAGTGTAAATTTTACAGTGTGTCTCATTCATCCCAGTCACAGACGCTATCCTTCCACGGGTCACGGACAATTCATTTTGTTTAGTAAATTTAAGTGCTCTTGTGCTGGTTCGGGATTTCTCTGTGTGTTTGTTTGTGTGTTTGTGGGTTTGTGTGTCCACACGAGAATCTCGGCAACTACTTTACCGACTCTGTAGTGATGATGGATGGTGTTATATGTAGTGATGATGGATGGTGTTATATGTAGTGATGATGGATGATGTTATATGTAGTGATGATGGATGTTGTTATATGTAGTGATGATGGGTGGTGTTATATGTAGTGATGATGGATGGTGTTATATATAGTGATGATGGATGGTGTTATATGTAGTGATGATGGATGATGTTATATGTAGTGATGATGGTTGTTGTTGTATGTTGTGATGATGGGTGGTGTTATAATTATGTAGTGATGATGGATGGTGTTATATGTAGTGATGAAGGATGGTGTTATATGTAGTGATGAATGATGGTGTTATATGTAGTGATGATGGATGATGTTATATGTAGTGATGATGGGTGTTCTTATATGTAGTGATGATGGATGGTGTTATATGTAGTCATGATTAGGCAATAAAATAATAACAGTTTAATGCTAAAAAAATATACTTTGCTGTACCGTTGTAGTGAAAAACATGGTGGAACTTATATTGATGGAAGAAGTAGTTTTGGGGACTGAACAGTGAGGCAATGTGGAGCCTCCCGGAGGGTGTTGTCCTACCGTGGCCTCGCGAATGAGCCGCCCGTCTGTTTGTGGGTGGGTTTGTTTGTTTGTGTGTTTGCACAAGAATTTAGGAAACTACTTTACCGATCTGTAGTGATGATGGATGGTGTTATATGTAGTGATGATGGATGGTGTTATATGTAGTGATGATGGATGATGTTATATGTAGTGATGATGGCTGTTGTTATATGTAGTGATGATGGGTGGTGTTATATGTAGTGATGATGGATGGTGCTATATGTAGTGATGATGGATGGTGATATATGTAGTGATGATGCATGATGTTATATGTAGTGATGATGGATGTTGTTATATGTAGTGATGATGGATGGTGTTATATGTAGTAATGATGGATGATGTTATATGTAGTGATGATGGATGGTATTATATGTAGTGATGGTGAATGGTGTTATATGTAGTGATGATTAGACAATAAAATAATAACAGTTCAATGCTAAAAATATTAACTTTGCTGTACCGTTGTAGTGGAACTTACATATACCGTTAATGAACTATTGATTTAAGAAGAAGTTTTGGGGAGTGAACAGTGAGACAATGTGGAGTTTCCCGGAGGGTGGCGTCCTACCATGGCCTAGGGAATGAGCCGCCAGGACCAAACTTGGCATGGATAGCAAGTGTTTCCTTGCTTCTCTCATGGACTGTTATATGTTGGATGCTCCAGAGTGGGAACTGGCAAAAATCTGTACATACTTGCTGCTAATGGCAAAACCAAAAATGTGGTCTACCCTAATGCACTACAGTGAGACAATGTGGAGCCTCCCGGAGGGTTGCGTCCTACCGTGTGTGTCCGCACGAGAATCTCGGGAACTACTTTACCGATCTGTAGTGATGATGGATGGTGTTATATGTAGTGATGATGGATGGTGTCATATGTAGTGATGATGGATGGTGTTATATGTAGTGATGATGGATGATGTTATATGTAGTGATGATGGCTGTTGTTATATGTAGTGATGATGGGTGGTGTTATATGTAGTGATGATGGATGGTGTTATATGTAGTGATGATGGATGGTGATATATGTAGTGATGATGCATGATGTTATATGTAGTGATGATGGATGTTGTTATATGTAGTGATGATGGATGGTGTTATATGTAGTGATGATGGATGATGTTATATGTAGTGATGATGGGTGGTGTTATATGTAGTGATGATTAGACAATAAAATAATAACAGTTTAATGCTAAGAAATATACTTTGCTGTATCTTTGTAGTGAAAAACATGGTGGAACTTACATACACCGTTAATGAACTATTGATGGAAGACGAAGTTTTGGAGACTGAACAGTGAGACAATGTGAAGCCTCCCGGAGGGTGGCGTCCTACCGTTGCCTAGCGGATGAGCTGCCAGGAAGGCGGCGATTCTGCTAGTACATATATATAATTATACGTCACAGATAGATAGATAGGTGAAAATTTAATAGTTCACTAGCTTACTTGTTTACCTACATACTGCTATGTTACTCACTCAAAGTTCATCCTTTCAGCCAAGATCTCTAGCATGTTGGCCATAGGTCCTAAGACCCTGATGGTGCCATTTTCCTGTGCCTCAACTTTTGTCCACGGCACCCACTGTTAGTGAGAGAGAGAGAGAGAGAGAGAGAGAGAGAGAGAGAGAGAGAGGTCTTTTAATCTGCAATAGTTTGGTAACGTAGGACTACACAGACTAAAGTATTTGGGTAACCTTTGAAAATAATATTGTGACGCGATCAGCCTTCAAGGACTATAATGTACAGACGAGGTCAAAAGTAATAATCCTACTACCATACAAGGGAGCTCAAGGCCTTTCTACACGATGAGTCACAAGAAGGTGGGGGGAGGGGGTGAATTGGTGGGGGGAGAGCCTGCAGTGGAGGACCCGGGTAGGGGCGGAGGGAGCGAGTCAAGAGCCATATACGAAGAACTCAACACAGTAGGGTGTGTCAATTTTGTCAACATGTTAAAAATCAAATTTGGTAGTCAAAATATTGTGCCTCTTTATGTCTAAACTTGAGATTAGCAAACAAAAATGAATTGAAATAACCCTCACCTACATCAATTATACCTTAAAGTTTCAAATATCAGTATTTCAACAAATTAATGAGACTTGATTAGAATTATTCACTTGATATTAACTAATCTCATGTAAGCATATGGATTATGGAGTATTTTATGGTTCTATAGCTTGTGTACAATATGCATGTCAGAACATGAACATGAACAGGCTCTCCGTGTGGGACAGTTTAATTCTTGTTTTGACTTGTACCAAGCGTGAGGATAAGGCGCCCGGCTCACTCTCCTTCTAGATATCATAGACGGTGGTTTGCTCTCATTGCACTTGCACCTACTCTACCAGACGAATTCTACATTTTAATTATTGTAAGTAGGGCATATTGATTGTCGCAGTTACTTATATCATTGTATAAAACATTATGTTCTAAGAAATTATTATGTTATTTCTGTTACAGCATTTTTGATAAACAAATTGATATTTTTTGAAACAACAATTGAATTATGAAACATTGAAATATTTTTCTATTTGTCAGATAGTGTGAAGATGTCAAAATTGAAGACAAGAAGTCAGTTGTCAACCCACTTGAGCCTGCTAGTTGGTAAAGGGAAGGAGCTTCCTGTATCAGAACTTCCAACAGTGAGAGACATGCTAAGATTAGGGTTACTCCTTCGAGAAAAAAATGCAAAGGACAGAAGGAACTATACAGATAAAGAACTCATAAATGACATGATAGTCCCTCTTCTGCATCAATGGACAAAAGCTAATGCACTATTCAAACCACCTGTGATTAATCAGTGTCGAACTATTGAGCTAAAACTAACGAAATTATGGCACAAAGCAGTTGAAACATCACTTGGTAAAGGAAACTTGGCCAGGAAAAATGAATTTCTGCACACACTTGATACTCTGTTTGACATTTTGACCTGCAAGTGCTCCATACAATTATGTTCTGAATCCAACTGTTCTCACTCAGGTAAGAGAGAAAATAATTCCCACATTGATTGTGGTTGTCCTCGTGAAAAGAAGATCCCTGTTTTAGAGCTTGAATTTATAAAGGCACAGAGGACAAAGGCAGAAGGCCAAGGAAGTATGCAAATGGGTTCAATAGATTATTCAGAAACAAAGAAGCAGATTGCTAATGCCAAGAAGAGAGAACAAATCCGAGAGAGGGAACAAAAGAAGAAAATGAAGAGTGAAGAAGCCATCCAAAGAGAGGAAGAGCTGTGTCAAGATGTTTATCACTTCTTTGATAGTTCTTCTGATGAACAGGAAGCAACATCAGATGATAGTTCCAAAGAGCCATCTGAACCTTTACCAAAGAAAATGAAATACAACACAAGAAATATTTCAAACATTGCTTTAGCTAGTATTCGCCACCATGCTGGACTTCGTGAGGCTGCAGAAATTGCAACTGCCGCTTGGATAGATGCAGGCCTCATCAGCCGAGAGGATGTATCTTTGGTGATAGATCATAATAAAATTAGAAGAGCACAAGAAAAAATAATGAAGGAAATATCTGATCAGCATGAAAAAGATTTAAGCGAGGGAGGGCTCTCCTGTCTTTTGTTTGATGGAAGAATAGATGACACAAAAGTTTTGCTAGAAGTAGAGGGAGTGAACAGAAAGTTTCCAGGTCTCATCAAAGAAGAACACTACTCTGTCTGTTCTGAGCCTGGTGGTCGGTTTTTGTTTCACTTTGCTCCCGAAACTGAAGTAGAAGGGAAGAAACATGCAGAGGTCATTGCTGATCATATTTTATGTTGGGTTCAGGAGAGAGGACTTGGCAGTTCACTGCAGGCTGTTGGTGGAGATTCAACTGCAGTGAACATCGGATGGCAGGGGGGTGTAATGACGCATTTAGAGAAAAAACTAGGAAGAAGACTTGTTTGGATTGTATGTGATTTACATACAGGCGAGCTACCTCTTCGTCATCTCATCCAGGAACTTGATGGTCCTACAAAGAGCAACAACAAGTGGTCAGGTCCCCTTGGCATCATGCTGGATGAAGCAACACAACTAGAAATAAATACAACCTTTCCAAAGGTCGAAGTTGGCCCTCCCCTTCCGGCGTTGTCTGAAGGAGTCATCAAAGATCTCAGCACAGATCAATCCTATGCTTATCGTATTGCCCAAGCAATAAGATCAGGAGAAGTGCCTCAGTCATTGGCTCTCTTGGAGATTGGACCTGTCAGTCACAGCCGTTGGTTAACTACAGCTCTTCGTTTCTGCAGGATTTGGATTTCCAAACACGAATTGAAGGGCAAAGTGCTGAAGAATTTGAGGTTAATTGTTGAATTTATTATTGGAGTTTATCTTCCCCAGTGGTTTAGTGTGAAACTTAATCCTATGTGGGTGGATGGGCCCAATCACCTTTTGTTTCAATTGCAGCTAGTAAGAACACAGAGGAAGGTAGTGAGGGACATCGTGTTACCTGTGGCAAGAAGGTCCGCTTGGTATGCTCGATCAGAAGCAGTTTTGCAAGCAATGCTTTGCAGTCAATGTACCAATCTCCGAACCGAGGCTGTAGAAGTCATTCTAAAGATTAGAGGAACGCTAATAGATGACGACCAGTTGGGAGACTGTTCGTTTCATTCAAGAAAAGTTCCCCCAATAAACGTCAATGCCACCAAATTGTCAGAATTGGTTGACTTGAGTTTGGAAGTCTTAGAGCCACCATTGACAACAAGTCTAACTAGCCAAGAATTGAGAAACCTTAAAGAGACTCCAATGCAGGTGCCGAAGTGGCCTTCCCACACTCAAAGTGTGGAGAGATGTGTGAAAATGGTCACAGAAGCAGCGGGCCATGTTTACAGCCACGAGAGGCGAGAAGGTTACATCAAAGCACAAATAGCAAGCAGACTACTGATGACAAGAAACCAAAGCAAAGAGAGTATGAAGGCATTGGTTACTTTCAAATAGACTACGGATAATAAAATATAATAATTTGAAACTTGAAACAGTAACATGTGTGCAAACGCTGGTTATGTTATAAATTCACAAATATGTACATTTAAAAATCCATTTGATGTAGGTAGGACTTATTATAAAAAAAAATTTATGCCAGAATATTGTTTTGCATGCTTAAAGACTACAATAAATTGCTACCAAATTACTCGATTTTCAATTTAGCCAGTTCACCCCCTAAATTGACACACCCTATCAACACAGCCATCTACAATACCAAAAATATAGCCCCTAGCTATTCAGGCATCACCAAGGAGATCCTCAGCCACATAAACAACCCGGGCATGGAGAGACTGAGAACCACAATGAACGCTTGCCTGGCCTCTGATTACTTTCCAACTAAATTCAAAGAGGCCATTATTATCCTAACACCAAAACAAGGAAAAAACCTCGCCATCCCACTAAACTAGAGACCGATCTCCCTCCTCGAAGTACCTGGAAAAATCCTAAAAAAAATCATCAATAACCGTCTGAGAAATCACCTGGAAACAACCAACAGAGTCAACTGCAGACAATTCGGGTTCAGGAAAGGGAAGTCCACCACAACAGCGATAGCCCTGGCATGTGAAAACATAGCCAGAGCCGCGGCAAGTGGTAGACAATGTAATCTAACTCTCCGGGATGTCGCGAAGGCATTTGAGAAAGTCTGGCATGACGGTCTAAAATATAAGATCCTCCAACTCGGACTTCCCACCAACATTGAAAAGCTGCTTTGCAACTTTCTTGACGGCAGAAATGCCAGACTGAGGGTAGGACAATACACAGGAGAGACTCATGAGCAGAGTCCCTCCGGGGAGCGTCCTCTCCCCCACCCTATATATTATCTACACAAGTGACACCCCGCCCCCCACTAGAATAGGTAACGAAGATATTATGTATGCAGATGACATCACTCAAATAACAAAACATCAAGGAAAATCAGCGTTACAGGTCGACAACACTAGGCGGGAATAAGAAAAGGTAAATAATTACGAAAAACAATGTAAAATCCAAATCAGTCTCCCGAAATTCACAGTGATACCCTTATGCAGAAGGAAAACCCATCCATTAGTAACCAATAATGCCCAGATAGAATACAAAGGCACAGGCATCCTCCTGGGACTGCATATATCCACGACAGGTTACTCCCATCATGCCCACACCAGGAAGGAAAAGGCAAAAAGAGAGCTGAGAAAACTATACCGCTATAAAGTGCTTCCTGAGAAAATAAATTTCCGCCTTGTGACAACATTTATCATACAGATATTAACTTACCCAGCAGTACCTCTTCATACTATGAGCACCACTCAAATATTAAAATTATAGGTGGTCCAAAATGAAGCCCTAAGATTCGTCACAGGTGAAAGATACCCCTTCACCAGAACCACAGCCGAGATACATAGAGACCTGAGAATAAAATCCATCAACCAGCAGCTGCACACCCTGGACAGCAGAGTTTGGCAAAAGATAGAACGATCAGAGCAAAAACTCCTTCAAAGACTCCCACCAGATAATGACAAAAACCATTCATGGTTCCCAAAAAGTTACCAAATCTCAAAAGGTCCATTCCCACCCCCGATCTATACGGCCAGGCAATGGACAACCTCCGTAGACCAGCATCCGCCAGTAGGG